CAATTGAAGCTCAGAGGTCGGCTCTCATTGGGCCCACTTGTTTTCAATGGAACTCAGAGGTCGGCTCTTTTCAAGCTTCGTTGGCATTTTTAAGAGTCCGACTTGTTCTTTTTTTTTTTTTTATATTTATTATTATTTTTTTTTTTTTTACAAGCGTCGTTAGCTTGTACGGGCCTTGGCTCTGATACCATGTTGAAATATAATCCTGTTCTGGCTGATTTATAATCCTGTTCTGCCTGATTTGTTCTGTTCTGCCTGATTTCTTAGAGCAGAAGTAATTTTCTATTTTCTGTTCTGTCTATTTTAAATGATGTAATGAGAACCATTAGATCATAGTCTAGGTAGATTCTCTAGCTTAGATTTGGTATGACACGTGACAGTTGTAATTCTGTTAGAAGAGAATCACATTTCTCTCTCTGTCAGACACACTATGTAAGCTGCAGATTGTAAGAATTCAATAGAATAGTGCCTTCCTCATTTTCTCTTCATGCTCTCTAGCTAAAATCTCCAGAAAATACTTCTCTTCCTAATCTGAAAATACATATACTAACGGCGAATGCTAACATTTTTGACGTTGATGAGAAAGTGCCCTCTCAAATCTTATTATGAAATCCATCAACGAATTTCTCCTTGATTTGTATTGCTTGAAGAAACCATGAGAACATTCTGCTCTTTGGCTGCTTGACATTCCAGCGGCAAAAAAGTGTCGTGCGTAGGCTGGAACCCAAGATTCCCTTAAATCAAACATTGAACTTAGCCATGGATGGTCAGTCAAACCAGCCTTTGTAACCACAATATTCCATTTTGCATCAAACTCATCCTTATTGCCAGTATCCCATATGGCTTTCTGGAATTCACCCCAATACTCCTTATAAGCAGAATGTGGTAACTTAACAGAGAACTTTGATGTGATGTGCCATATGCAAAGTCGATGAAATGTAGTCGGGAAGGCTATTGAAATCGCTCTGCTCATTGCCGCATCTTGATCTGTGATGATCGTTTTAGGTTCGCCACCTGGCATGGCTTTCTTAAACTCCTCAAACATCCAAATAAACGACTCAGTCTTTTATTTGGATGTTTGCGCATGCTAGGACAATTGTTTGACCATGGTTATTAACTCCCAACATTGGTGCAAATGTCAAGTCATATCTATTCGTATTGAATGTGGTATCAACTACAACAACATCTCCATAAAACCCGTACGCCCGTCTAGAAGTTGCATCTGCCCAAAAACATCGACTAAACCTATTATCGCCATCTCCCTCAATCTTGAAATAAAAAGCCTCAGTTTTTTTCTGTTCAGCCATAAAATACTCGGTCACTAGTTCA